TATATATATATATATATATATATATATATATATATATATATATATATATATATATATATATATATGGTCCGTTTCTAGTAAAAATATAGACAAAAAATAATAATAATTCTTACAACTTCTAGATAAAATGAAAGTTAATTAATTGATTGAATTGATCTGGTCTGCTTCAACTTAATCTCTATTGAAAAGTTTCACCAGTATCAGATTTGATGTATTGATGCAAAAGTATTCATACCCTTTGAACTTCTTTTCTTTTTTACATCACAGAGGAAAGAGGTTGGACCAAAACGCCAACTTCCACCTGAACCGGCAAAGGTTCACTCTGGGAGAGTTTTCATTCCTGGAACATTTGACTGTTTAGGAGGAAATTCTGCAGAAATAAGTTCAGCGATGGCCTGAGGGGGGCGCTGCATGCAGGAAACAGCTCAAACTGTTTGTAACAACTTTCTCACGTTTTACTCTTTACTAAAGGAAAAACTGCAGCTAAAAAAAAACCCATATAGCTAAAAATGCAGCTGATATTTTGACTGACCGCTCCACTTGATGTTTTGCTCTGATGGAGCTTTTCTGATGATAATCTCTGTCTGTCTCACTTCTATTTTTAGTACTGCACACATTCTGCAGAAAGACGCTTCTGGACGGTATCAACCAGACACGTATAGGCAAAAACACAAAAAACACGCAGAAAACATAAAAACATGGCACTACTGTTTAACCCAGCTCGAAGGCTGCTTCCTCTGCTGACCAGTTTGTAACCAAACACCGAGACGTGCCGCCGCTCAGGCAGAAAACTGCTGCTAAAGATAGAGGAGGCCTTTAAAAAGCAGTTTCATCAGACGAGCAGCTGCTCCTGTCTGACGGAGAGCCGCGGTTCACCTGGAAACTCAAACTTTGGTGACATCAGATAATGATTCATAGATTGACATTTAGTTCAGGTCAGACCGACAGCCGTTCCCTCTTTACATTATGTAAATTTAACTCCATTTTCCCCAGAAAATGTAAATAAATTCATTTTATCGTTGCTGCTTCATACTTTACACACATCCTCCTACGTAAAACGGCAAATATTTATATTCAATACATTTGAATATTTGTTCAAATAAGCTTCGTTTGTCTAATTAAAGGCATCTTTTGAAAAATAATAAAATTAACAGGTAATAACCCCACATTTCTTTTTTCTGGTTTATTGGTTTTATGTAATATTCTAAATTTACATATAATTTTTCATTAAGTGTTAGTGGGAAATCATCATTATTAACAGAAATAATGAAACGAAAACATTAGTCTTTGTGTTTTATTTAACAAATTGAGTTACTTAAATAAATTAACTTTTCAATCATATTCTAATCTCTGCATGTAATTAAAGAAGATGAGAATTTCATCATGACAAGAAGACATTTTTATATGTTTGTTGCTATTATCTTGGAAGTGAAAATTATGGGTTATTTTTAAAAAAGTGTAAATAATTTCTTTGCAGTTGATTTCAGACTTTTAATACATTTAGAAAGTCCAGAATATCCATGAAAGTCTGAATGTTTTCATAGCAAACCAGAAAAACATTATAAACAGATGAAAGTTTGGAGGAAATTTGCATATTTCCAAAAAGAACATAAAACCACTCAAGAAATCTGGACGTTCTTCGAGGATTCCTCAGATATTTCTGCATCCTGAATTCCTAAAGATCTTGGAGTAAACATGATTATCCTCCAAAAAGGAACAGATTAAATGTTGGGTGAAAAAAGGGAAAAGCTACAAGAAGAAATGCTTCTGTTTGCCCCAGAGACAGACATTAAACTAGTGACTGTCATGTGGGTTACATTTATAACCATCTATTTTAATCAAATAAGCATTAATTATCATTAATTATTTCTTCGTGCAGACGACAACTGTTGAATATTGCATGAATACCTGCCCAGTTCTTCTCCAATCTCATAGAAATCCTCCACATTCTGCTGCTTGAATAACTCCATGGCTGCAGCTGTAAGCAACACGTTTCACTCTTTATCCACAAATCATCCTGGAAATAATCTGAAAACTAAAATCACAAGTTGAGACCGTCAGCTGGATTATTAGAGGCAAACCTTTTCTTTATAAAGTAAAACTACTTCATGTGTTCATCGTGGTCCAGAATGTCCCTCTGATCTGTCTGCTCTGCTCCAAACACGAAGACCGAAGTTGCCTCCGAACTCCGTACAAGACTCCTTACTGAAAGCTGCCAATTTAATGCGGCGCTGCTCTGCAACAATGAACATCTGCTAGCAAGAATAAAAGTGAAATACCTGAAAAATAAAGACTTCAGAACTGTACTTTTCAAGCCGAATTAATTAACAATCGCACAATATTCAGAAGATTACGTCATGAAAAAATATCCCACACTGTTGTTTGTAGAAATTGAAGTAAAATTTAATTTGCATTACTTTTAATGAGGTTTTGGCGGCTCTTTCCGTACGCGTTCACTTAAACGAAAAGCAACAGCTAATTGGTGTAAAATCTTTATGGATAATTCTACAAGAAATAAAGAAATATTAAAGTAAACTTTTATATGAATTTATACATTTATTGTGTTTAAAGTTCCTGCATCGTTCTCATGCCAACATTCTTTTCCAGGCTGAAATTTTCAGGATCATTTTATGAATCTATTTTCAGACATTTCGACAATGGTCAGGACTGGATGCACTTTGTTATTGCCAAGTTGAGTATCAACATGACTAAATTTAGTGCTTTAGCTTAAATACTATGTTGTTATATTATTTTAGCATTAACTTCCAATAAATAATTTGTTGATACTTTAGCATTAGCTTCCATTAAAAAATATGTTGATGTAGCATTTTAGCGTTAGCTTCCGCTAGATATGTTGGTAAATTACTTTAGCGTTAGCATCTGCTAGATAAAATGTTGGTATAGTACTTGAGGATAGCTTCCATGATATATTATGTTGGTGTTTTGCTTTAGTGTTAGTGGAATTAATGTTTACAATTAGTGCTTTAGGGATAGGTTAGCTAATTTTTTAGTTAGCGGAACTGATAATTATTACGTGAAATAAGAAAAAATGTATGGCAACAAAAAAATGTATCACAACAAAGATTTTACAAGTTTACACCCAAGCAGTTAAAGATCAATCTGGGACGAGGAACAGAGATATTAAAATGAAACAGGCGACGGAATGAGAGGTGGAGCGCTCAGTAGATAAGCTGGAACAATACCACCTTTCATATGGGACTGACATCCAACTGAAACAGTCAAATGAGCCGTCTCTGCTTCCTTTGGAGACTCATTTAGTGACTACGGATGACCACGGTGCTGCTCGGTCAGCTCCTGACGGACGGCCCAGGATGGCGAAGCAGACGATGGCGGACCTACAGATGTTGGCGGCAGATGGAGGTCTGAAGGAGCTGGTGCTGAGGTGGTTCACCGACACGCAGGCGCCGCTCATCCTGCAGAACGGAAACTTCCCTGACTGGTTCCAGGGCCTCGCTGCCAGAAAGTAAGATCTGCACTACTTCAATAAAAGTTCATCTGATTTATTCCTGCGATCTGCTGCTGCTAAAAATGTTTACGTTTGATCTGAAGGTTTCTTAGTGACTATTTTGAGTTTTTAGCATTTCAGTCACATGTTCAGTTCTCCTTCTGATTAGCAGGATGCTAAAGTTAGCTTCTAGAATAGGCAGAGGTGAACAGAGTACCCAAAAATTATACTCAAGTAAAAATACCTCAACATATTTTTACTGAAGTAAAAGTAAAAAGTAGCGGTCAAAGAAATTACTCAAAAGTAAAAATATCTGGTAAAAAGTCTTCTCATGCACTGAGTAACTGATCAAATTATCAATCATTTAATATTTAAAAAAATACATCATCAGATGGACCATCAGATTCTGGTATTCAAGGATCAAAATGACAATTTATATAAGTAACAAAAAATAAAATCAGGCTAAAGAAAATTTTTACAAATCAGTTTCTTTCAATAAAAAACTTCTGAAACTTTAACAGAAACTGCAGGTGTGTGTCTGGGGAGTTTTTGGTTAAACGTGTTTATTTTTCATTCAGTGGGTAGAAAATCCAGAAATCTTACTCAAGTAGAGATACTTCAGAACAGAATATGGCTCAGTCTTGGTTTGCTTGCCCAGCTCTGCATTTTAGTTAAAGCTGCTGAAAGTTTATTTTTTTATCTCCTTTTACTTGTAGAAGAAATTAAATTCAAAGCAAAAACCTGGATAAATACTTCATGTTGCATCAGTGAAAAGTTCACCCCAACATTGTTTTTAAATCTGGATCAACTTCCTGAACTGTGATTAACGGCCGCCTAGATTTGTTCCACGGGCAGCGAAAGGCCCCTGAGCCGCACCTTGAACACCCCTGGCAAATGGAGACGTTTTGTTTTTCTTCGTATGAAATTTTCAATGACAAATATATATCTGAAATAGAAAATCTTAGGTACAAAACCAATGTTTTTCTTTTATTAGGTATGTTTTTTTGTCATAGTAAGCTGGGTCACAAATCTCCAGCAGCTCAAAAACAGACTTAGTCGCACAAAATAATTAAAATGTGCATCAAGGGTTTTCAAAGACACTTCTCATTTTTATTGCTGACTGACAAGTTATGAAACTGCGTAATTTTGAGACCCTTTTTCTGACCTTTTTAATTAAAATACTTGTTAATTTGTTGCTTAGCAGGCAAAAAGATAAGAACTGAAAATGAAACCATTTTACATTTTAACTGAAAATAAAAATAAAAATAAATTGTGGCCCCTGAGTTCTTTCTACTTGATTTTGGCCAACGTTGGCCAAATGTTTGGACGCCACTGTTGTCTCTAAAACTTTCACACATTGTTGTGGATAAATTCTGACCAACCGGCTTCCACCACAGTATTTAAATCAGCTTGAGGTCTACACTTTGACTAGGCCATTGCTACACATTGATTCTGTTCTGTTTCAGTCTTTGGGATTTGTTTGGACTCATGTTTGACGTTAGAACATCTCAGTACATAGAGCAGATCAGGCCCAGTGGATGCAACAGAAACCCAAACCATGATTCCTCCACTACCGTGTTTGGCAGTTAGGAGGTGTTGGTGATGAGATGTTTGGTTTTCTCCTGGTCACACATCTCTGTTTTGGTCTCATCTGTCCAGAAAACATCGTTGCAGATGTTTCTCGTCTCATTCAGGTTTGCAAACCTGCGTTGCTTGTTGGGCTTCTGTTCCTCTGATGTCACGTCAGAGACTTTGTGTGGTAAATTCTCCCTGACAGAATAATGGCCGCTACCTGTGCGCTGCAGTTCCATGACGCAGCTGGGATATTTTTGAATCTAATTTGCCTGTAGTTCTGTTTAATTGCCCTTCTCCCACTCCACTGCAGGGAAGCAGAAGATGTGCTGAGAGATAAAGCTCTGGGCTGCTTCCTCATCCGCCTCAGTGATAAAGCCATCGGCTACATCCTGTCCTACAAGTGAGGCAAATAAGGTTTCCTAGTAAATCATTGAATGATTCACTCACAACTCTCTGACTGAACGACTGTCCGCCCTTCAGAGGTCAAGACAGGTGTCGGCATTTTGTCATTTCCCAAAATGCTGAAGGGCAGTTTGTGATAGCAGGAGACTGTCAGCTGTTTGGCAGTCTGACCCAGCTGATCGAGCATTACAAGGTCCGGCCCATCCAGCCGTTTGGGGAGTTCCTCACCTCCAGCTGCTGCCAGGTGAGACACAAAATCCCGTTTTACAAATATTCCAACTGAGCTCTTCATCTGGTTTTCCTCAGACCTTCAATTTAAGATGGAATTAGCAAGTTGAATATTATAACCAACAAAGTTTTCAGTCAAATATTTAGCTCCAAATATTTAGTTTCAAGTTACGTTTTTAGCTTTCTAATCAAGTATTTAGCTTCCTAATTAAACTTCAAGCTATACATTTAGTTTGAAGCCAGGTATTTAGCTAGTTGCCTATGTATTTAGTTTGCGTTTGGATTGGCTGCTTTGCAAACGTACAAAAAATCCACAAATAAATAAATTTTTCTTGAATAATTTGAGTTTTTCTTATCAGTTAGCAAATAATAGCAAACTCGAGCAATATTATTTAAGCCTATGTAAATTAACATTTTCATTACTAATAAGGAAATGCTAGCATGCTAATGTGTTAAACTGGAAAACTCTGTATTTTCACTTTTTATAAACCTCTAAAAATATGAAATATATTGAATTTGTGACTTTGTTAATTTGCAAATGTAAGCACAATAGCAAACTATTTGAGTGCCATATCTTTAACAATAATCAGGAAAATGTTAGCTTGCTGCTACGCTAAACAGTTTGAAGCTAGCTTCATGTTTTTATACGTTTTTACCAAATGTCTCTGTTAACCTGAGAAAATCCTAACTAGCTTTGTTTCTTGCTAATTAGCAAATGTTAGCATGTTTATAAGCTAATTTATGCTACTGGAGTAGAACATGGCTGTGGTTAAGTTTGACCAGTATGATTTTAATTTGAGCACCATTGGTTAGATTAGACTCAGATCTGTCTCATATGTTTGAACTGCTGGACTGCGACCATAAAGTAACTCTTCTGTTTCTCTTTAGGACGATGCTGATGATCTGTATGATGTGGTCAATGCCAAGAAGAGTTCAGGTGTCAGTGTTCAAGCTCTGCGGTCCATCTGGGACCAAGTCGAACCTGACAAGAAAAAAAAGGTTGAGCAGCGTCAAAATGAATCTCCTCCAGCACTGGCGCCTTCCCTTCCTCCCAAATCCAGAAACAGGAAGCTGACGGGAACCGTATCCGTGGATGCATCGTCTCTTTCACAGGTGGGATGGAAACTGAAGTCTTACTGAAAAGCTGATCACTCATTCTGGTTCCTCTTTAGCTGCAGGTCAGCCTGGTTAGAAAGAGCAAATCAAATAAATTAATTATTTACAGTCCATTTAAATTAGTTGCTTTCCCTGCAGTGGCCATTTGCATGTTTTTGAATTTATGTCATCTCTCAAAGAGTGTTTCTGGTCTTTACAACTATTGCTCAGTGCAGAATATATCTGAGCATGCACTGGTTTAAATATTGAATTTTTGTACATCCAGTACACTACAATGGACTTCATGCACTTTATACCTGCATGTTACAGATAACTCCAGGCCACCAACATTAAATTGACCATGAAATATAACAAGGGGCATCATAGAAATTTAACTGTATGGAAGTAAATCTATGGTCTGATCTGTGCTGCGTGCGTCTAACGTGAAGAGGACATGGCAACGCAGTGAGATGCAATGTTCTCCTGAGAATGGATCCTTCCATTCCTGCAGATGTTGCAGCAACATGGGTGAAGGTAGCACATTAGCTTTAGCATTTAGCCCATCCTGTGAAGAAGAATAACACCTTTATTAGGTAAAACATTCACATTTTAGTCCAAAAGAACAAAAAACGAGCAGCATAAGACATGGATAGACAGGTGCTGCATGGCTTATGATTTCTCCAAATAAAGTTTTTGGATTGAATTGTTTTGCTTTGTTATTTTCAGGCCCTTCCTCCGGTACCAAAAAGAGGAATGCCTTTGGGTTTTTCCCTGAGTGGATCTCTACCAGACACAATGTCCCATCCCAGTGAAATGCCAACCAACCCAAACAGGGCGCAGACACACAGAGGAAGGACAACTCCGCCGTTGCCCGCTAACAGAGACTCGTTCCACCCAACAGACTCAAACAATTCAAGTGAATTTTACAAAGAAATGGTGCCGGTTGCTGATCTGAGCCAGGTGGAGAGCCGGAGCCAATCCCTGCCGTATCTGGGCAACAACGACGACGAGGAGAAGGAGGAGGAAGAGAAATACTCCAACAAGTTTAACAGCCTCTCTGTCACAGCGTCCGCCCCGCCAAAGAAGGTCACCTGCCTCACGTACTCCTACCACACTCCAGGTGTGACTCAGAGCAGCTCCGGGTCAGAACCAGAGAACGGCAGCCAGGACCAGCTGAGACCCAACCCTCTGTACCAATCCTCCGAGGCCGCCGCAGGAAGTCCAGCCCAGCAGGCAGACAGCATGTACGCCGAGGTCCCCGAGGGCCCGACGCGGACCGCCGACGACACGTACGAGCAGATCCCCAGAGACGGCGCCGGCCACAGCAACACGTACGAGTCGGTGGAGGACGTGAAGAACAAAAAACCCAAAAGCACTTGGGGGAAAAATGTAAGAAAGGAAAATAACTGATAGTTTGTTTCCACTCAGCCGGTGCGGTTCGGTACGCCATTTGATCTGTTTCTATAGTAAAGCCCAAACAACCGATGATACGCTGCAGGTCCAGATGGCGGTGGTACCGCACGGTTAGGATCCACGGTTCACTGACTGGGGACAGAAAAACGTCACTGCTTGCTTCGCGTTTCCCGTCGCACTAAAATGACGCCATTTTACCTGTTTGGGTGTAACGCCGCCCAACTGGTGTAACGGAGTATTAGAGCCTTTGTAGGGAGAGAAGACATTGGCTCATTTCCCCCAAAAAATCTCAGAAATTTTCAGGAAAAAAACTTTGAAATTTCAGTTTCACAAGTTCAGAATTTTCGACTTTTGAGACTCAGAAATTTCTTTGTTTTTCCTTGAAAATTTCTGAGAATTTTGGTGTAAATTTTCTCCTTTTTTTCTGTCTGTGGCGCCGTAAACTGGCGGTGGGAACGCTCTCCTGGATCTGTCAGCCCATAAAACCCCGAACCGCACCGCCCTGCGTCGTAGCGCTCAGTGGAAATGAGACGTAAATATGCTGCTGATAAAATCTGAAAATGCTTCTTAATTTTGTGTTGCAGAACATTAACTGGAAGAAATTTTTCCCTGATAACAAGAAGAAATGAATGATGCGTCCCTGAAGTTCGTTCTGGATCTTCTGCTTCTCTAACCTCTGCTGTCTCGACTCTGGAGTGTTCGGGTTTCCTGGTTAATATAACAGCCATTTCCTCAGTTCAACTTCAGTAGCTGCATTTCCATTAATTGTATAATTGCACAATTTGACATTTTCAAGATAAATTTGCTTTATGAAATTTAGAAAAAAAATCATTTTTGATAAAAACTTTTGGCGCTACGATGAAGTGGTTTATTTGGCTGCAGCAGAAGAACTTTTTTGCGTCACACGGGTCACATGATCAACAACCGGATGTTGCCACTGACGCAAACCACGAAGAAGAAAAAGACAGGAAGTAGTTGAAGGCTGATTTAATGACTTAAACTTAATCACGTCTGATTTTAATTGTGTTTTTAATCAATGAAAACTCTGCTATTGTAATTGTGTTTTTTTTAATTAATGAATTATTGACAAAGTTTTGTGAAAAGTTTTGTAATAGAAACACAGATGGTGACCTGGCTTCCCACCCGGTTCCTAATCAACAGTAACCAGTCAGATCTTCCTTTTCTCATCCTGTATTTCTGTTTTTCTCCTGTTGATAGTTTATGATTCAGTTAGTTTATGACTCCTGGACTTTACTGTTTGGTTTTTCTTATTTTAAATTGTGTAAATTAATTGTAAACCACTGAGTTTCACCTGTCTGCTTCTTGCCTCATTGCGTTACACTATTTTATGAGAAAATGCTTCCATTCTAAGTCACAGAGAAAAAATAAAGGTTTTAGTTGATGATCCATGAACATTAAACTGAATGTAATGTTCAGTTAGGGTTGTAGTCATGAAATGATTCTGATAAATCATAAAGCACAACTATTAGCAAAGATTGGATTTATTTGTAAATGTTGGGAAAATGGGAATCAGTAACTTAGAGTTAACCTGAATGTTTTTTGTCATAAAACCAGATTTAGAGAAGCAGATTACATAAATTAATGGATTAAACATCATCCTTCAGTGGAAAGGTTGCTGGTTCAATCTTTGTTTCATCGATTTATTTTGTATTTTTCAAATGTTCTGTCTTTGTTTATAAATTTATTTCTATTTGATGACTGCTTGTTAAGTTTCCCTGTGTAGGAATTTAACTATCAGAGACTCAAATTCCAAGAATTTCTGTTATGTTCTGTTGTTTCCCTCAACTTGACAATAAATTTATTTAAAAATTACACCTGTTAATGACTGTTAAATATTTGTATTTAACTTTCATTATTCGTAAAAAGGTGTTGTTTTTTTTTGTTACAAAGTAAAGCAGCTGATTTAGTATTTTCCTAAAGTAAAGTTATCTTTACGTTTTGTCAGATGTTGGCAGCAGAATTAGTGGTTCTGGGCTCGGAATCTGGGACTGCACATGCAGTTTCCTCTTCTGACCACCAGGGGGCCGGAGTGTTTACCCGCCTGGAGTCTAGCGAAGAAGAAGACAGGAGGGACGTCCAGATTCCAAACAGATTCCCGTTGGAAAGTCAGAAAGATTCCCGATTTTCAGTTTTTAATAAATCAATTATCGGACTAACCTGTTCTTTTTGACACGATGGGCACCAGAGACGATGAGTACGACTATCTGTTCAAAGGTAGGTCGTGTTACCGTCGCTGTTATCTGTCAGGCTAACTGGCAGCTAACGGAACCAGCCTTTTCTTTTGTGTTCCGTTTGACTCTCGGATCCCCAACGGGCTCTCTGGACCGGGTCAGAACGGGTAATCAGTGGGTATTAGCCCGAACGGCTCTGGTGTGATCCTGACACAAGAAAGCTGTTCTTTTCTGACCCGGCGGTTCTGGGTTCGTGTTAGCGGTTAGCTCGGGCTAGCCGGCTGGCTGTGGGACACACCTTGAACCGTTATCATCCTGGCGAGGTCCGGACCGGGCATCCGGCGGAACTTTTAACTGGGCCCGGGACCAGAACCGGAGCTGAGAGGAGAACCTGAGCCCGCAACGGGTTGGTTCTGTTCGGGTGGGAAAGGTTCTGGGAGGGTCCAGCTGAGATTCATTTAAAAACACTATTAACTGCTGCTAACATTAACATTCATGTGTTTATTTATATACAGGACATAGCAAAAGTATTCACACCCTTTCAACTCTACCCGTTTTGTTACAATCCGATTTTATGGGATTGTAACAGATTTTTACTTTGACGAGTAAAAATCTGAAAAGTGTGGCATGCATGAAAATAGAGGCAGTAGGAACCCGAGACCGGGATGGAGATTCACCTCCCAGCAGGACAAACACTCTGAACTTTCAGCCAGAGATGATATAGGGTGGCCTAGTCAAAGTACAGACCTAAATCAAACTAAGAAGCATTGGAAAGGGTTAGGGTTAGTTCTCCATGCAGGCTGAGTGAGCTGGAGATGTTTTTATGTGCATTCATTCAGCGTGGGTGGAGAGAAACTACGGATGAGGTTCTGCAGAGCTGAATATAAATGCACACCACACTTTTCAGACAATAGTTTCAATATCAATTTCAATTCTGCTCTACTTTCTGTTGGTTTGTCACATAAAATCCCCAAAACACCTAGAAGTTTGAGGCTGTGTGGAACAGAATGTGAAATAGGTCCAGGGCTGTACAGACTGTAAGTTTTCAGGCAGCAGCACAGAAAATAAACCAATACTATAAATAAAATTAATCATATCACCAGTGTGAGATGAAGTGATTAAAACATTTGATCGGTTAATTGCTATCAGCTAATTATTGTATTTGTTTTGTTTCATGTTTCATGGCCAGGAAGCTGCATTTGGAGATCTTGTTTTTGCAAGACAAGAAAACCTGAAACTCAGGAAACTTTGGTGGTTTAAGTTTTGTTAGTTGTCAACTGATTTCTTAAAACAAAATACTGCTGTGCTCTTTGCTTTTTTTGAGGCTCAAAGCAGAAAGTTGTGAAAGTTTAGTTTTTTTTGTGCAGCCACATTTTCAGCTGGTTTTATTGTAGCATAATAATTTCAAAAAGTGAAATAAAACTAAATCTCCAGTCAGTTTGTTGGAAAAGATGCAAAGGCTTCATAGAATCAAATTCTTGTCACAAATGTAAACATTGTTAATCGTGAATGCAGTAAAATAAACTGAAAACATTAAATCCTAACCATAAATGGATCATAATCTCAGAATCATCGTTCAGTCATAAAATCACAGAGGAAAGTTTGGATGTTTGTTGGCTTTTAATTTCACAATGTTGGAAATGTAGAGACCCCAGAGGGATGTTTGTCCCTCATGGGCCTCCGTTCTCTGCAGACCAGTCTGTAACCAGTCTGTAACCAGTCTGTCCACTGGGATGAAATTACAAGCTGGGTCATTATTATGAGAATAAACGTCATAATTACAAGAATTAAAGCCAGAATTGTGATTTTTAAGGTCATAATTACTAAAACTGATGCTCTTATTATGAGTTTTATTGTTGTAATTACAACTTCCTGTTGAAGGTTTTCTTAATGATAGGAATGGGCTTCTATAGTTTCAACAGTTTGGATAATTTAAGTTATTTCCAGGGAAAATAAATGTTTATGGAGCAGTTCTCAAGTGCTCCTTAGGAAAAACATAATATTAGTTTAGCGTAAACAGAACCAGGAAGTGGGCCGGCCTGTAACTCTGCTCTCTGCGCCTCAGTGGTCCTCATCGGAGATTCGGGCGTTGGGAAGAGCAACCTGCTGTCCCGCTTCACCCGGAACGAGTTCAACCTGGAGAGTAAGAGCACCATCGGCGTGGAGTTCGCCACGCGCAGCATCCAGGTGGACGGCAAGACGGTGAAGGCCCAGATCTGGGACACGGCGGGCCAGGAGCGCTACCGGGCCATCACATCAGCGTGAGTCCAGCGAGGCATGCTGGGAGCTGCTTCAGCTGTTCAGAAAGGCTTTACGCTTTTATTAATAACAACTTCCTGTTCGTGCAGCAAAGCTCCGATAGTGAAAACTTCAGTAAATCTTTCACATGCAGATCCAAGAACTCAACTTGACTCAGATGATCGTAAAGAAAAATTTATTTTTGCACAAATTTTTCCAGTATTTATCTGAGATCAGCACTTTTGGTGTGACTGTGACATCATACATAGTTGGACTCGTAGGAGTTGTAATTACATATTGACATTCTTTTTTTTCAAGATGGCCACCATTGTTTGCACTAGTTTTTAATCACAGCTAACCACTAAGTTCACCGCTAATTTGCTGAACAAGAATATTAGTTCTGCTAATGCTAAACATGTAAGAAATTAGCAGAAGCTGTACAGTGTATTATAGTTCTGTTGAATTTATCAATAGAAAAATTTTGAACAAAAACGGTTTTGCAGAAGCTACTGGCTAACCGCTAAATAAAAAATGAGCAGAAACTAACCCTAAACTGCTGATCTCTTTAAAAATAGCAGAAGGTAATGCTAAACTGCTAAACACATTAGGAAATTAGCAGAAGCTATCACTACATGCATAAAAAAATAGTGTAAGCTAATGCTGAACCACTAAGCATATAAAAAATTTTAGCAGGAGCTAACGCTAACCAAAACTGTCCTTTTGTCTCACATCTTCATCTCCTTCCAGTTGACAACCGCCGTGAAACTCAGTTTCTGGTTTTGCTCCATATT